GTGAAACCCTGTATATATTTTTTTGAAAATGTTTGTATAATAACAATGAAATTTACTGAATATCTTTCTACTTTATTGTGACTAAATTAAATTTCAACGCAGCAAAATAAAAATTGTCAAAATGGCACTAAAATCAACCGCGCGAGTCAAAATTGTTAATTACGGTGATTTACGTTCCTGGCTCGATATCGCGAAATCAAGAGCCCATTGAGCAAAATGATTTTGAATTCATCCTGTCCAAATTACAATAGAAAAGTTAATAAAGCCTATTACATTTGTATTATGAATTTTACTGCGCACTCTAAAATATGTTTTTTAAAGCATTCTTAATTTAATTTAATATACAAAATATGTAGCCATAACAAATCATAAATAAATTGAAAGTAAATATATGAATGTAAGCGCAAAATTTGTTTTTATTTCAATTTTTAAACTTTTGAGCTACTACCTTAAAGTTTTAAAAGAATAAATTTAAAATCAGGATGTTTTTTACAGATATTAAATTCCATCTTAATTTTATCCCTGCATGCGTTTCCAGATGTCTAAGACCTTTCAAGGTAATAATTTATCCAATTCATTAAGGTCTTGGTAATCCCTCATAAAATTTAAATTGAAATTTCTTTTGACATCATATTATTTGAGTTCATCATTTTTCATATAAAATTTGGTGATCAGTTTTGAAACATATAATATTTTTTTATAAATTATCATTACAGTTTATTAATATTAAATAATATTAAATATTATTTGCTATTCTAAAAAAAATAACCATTCAGAACTAAAACACTTTATATAACTTTTTAATTATATCTGTTTTTAACGCCTTTTTAAAGCCAAAACACCGAATAAGGTGCGTATAAAAAGATAAAAGAAAGCTGGAAAGAATGTCAGTTATTTTGTAATGTGACAATAAAAATTGTCAAAGTTGCTGAATAAAAAAAAATTGTTATCTGTTTCTCGTATTGTCATTTTTGCCATTTTTTAAATTTTAAAGTTTTAAATCAATTTATTTAAAAAACAACACGTTTAATATTTAATATTTTGTCACTAATATCTATTGGTTGAATTTATAAAAAAATCGTAAGAGAGCTTTTTGTAGAACGGTAAATTTTTAACAAGAATTTGCATTAGGAATTGCTGTATATCTACATATATCTATATTTGTTAGTGAGTTATAAAAATTATATAAAAATAGACAAAATAATTAAACCTTTCCCTCGACAGAGTTTTTGTTTTGAGTGCGTAACACACCCAAAACAAAAGACTACCTGAGCTTATATACTACTCAAGTAAGCCAACAGAGGCGAGATGTTCTTTCAATTCTTCAATTCTTTTAAATAATACCAGTAATGGGTCAAGAAAGTTTATTAAAAAACTAAGAAAATTGAATGTTTAAAAATAGACAATGTTTTCATTTATTTATAAATTTGAGCCCTCATATCATTATAATAATATGGGTCTGTCTGTTTGCTAGCGAGTTCCTTAAAATGACTGTTTTGTTTAAAAATTATTTTTTTTTTTCGCACCTTTCAAACTCCCATTATCGTACATGTCATATTGACAAGTTGTGGCTTTATGGCGCTTTAGTCACGGGCTGAAGTTAGCAACAGGTTTTTAGTCACGGGCTGAAGTTAGGTTTAAGTTAGTTGTCAAATATCATACAATCGTAAAAATAAAGTGCCTTTCTAGTAAAATATTACTAAATGTGAAAATTATTTTATTATCCTAATACAAAAGTTTAAATAGTTTATTTCCTCCAATATTTAAAAAGATTAAATGAACGTTTGAACTGACATTTTAATTTTGCCGTAGTAGTGCAGTTAACTGGATTTCACTGATAAAGCGTTAAAATTTTTGCTTACAGTGCCTATAAAACATTCTCTTCTCTTTTACTGTGAAAAACTGCTTCTATATCGATTGTTAGTCTATTTCAAGGGATAGATTTTGATTTACACAGAAAAATTTGTGATTTTAATGGTTAGAAATTCTAACGGGAATTCCAATAAATACAACTGTCACTTTTTGTACCTTTAACATTTACCGTGAATTTTTAATACTTTGTGATAATATTTTGAAATTATAGTAATAAAAAAAATCTAAGGAAAAAATATTTTCTTAAGATAGTCATATTTTTAAGTTATTTTAATAAGTATCAATAATTGTTAAGTTTAATTAAAATAATAATGGTGAAAATTTTGTCAATAATGTTTATTGGGATGGTTACTTTATTTCCATATAGATGTGGCTTTGTGCAAATATTTAATTGATAATGTAGCCAATTAAAATAAAAAAATATGTACATTTAAGAATATTGTTTTCAATAAAAAAAAAGTTTTTTTAGCCAAATCTTGAATTTATTTAAAACAAACATAAATTGTTCGATTTCAATAAAATTTAAAAAAATTTGTATATGTTAAAGAGAAAATTTATATTATTTTAAAGTTTTTTATTGATTCCCAAAATATTAAAAGTTCCTTTTGGAATACCCTTAATTTTAAGGTTAGTTTGTCGAAAAAACGTTTTTCCACAATAACCCAAAAATAAGTAGGAAAGTTATAACTATGTTGGCAAATAAATAAATACATTTTTTTATTTTGTCGACAATGGTTTTATTAGTATAATAATTAATAAAATGTCTGAAGAACAATAATTAAATAATTTCTATACATATATAATGTACACAAGTGCAAGTGTAAAAAAGGATTTCTTTGTTTTTCAAGGCAACGAATTTTGGTTATTAATTTCAAGTCATTTAGTGTTATCTACTATCTTAAAATGAATTAGTCAAAAATGACTAATTGTCATAGCGAAAAAGCAGCCACTAATAATTCTCGTCAATAGCAATTTGTATCCCGAATATTTAGCAGTCAATTTCCATGTTAAATTGTCCCCTGAATCCGAAAATATCGTCAAAAGGTAAAAAAGTAGAACAGTTTTTGAGATATAGTCAATTTTTCATTTAATATGGAATTGAATCCCAAAAACTGCTCTACTTTCATAATTTTTGATGGTATTTTCGGATTCAAGGAACAATTTTTATAAGAATTTGGATACCATGATATCCCATGGTACAAGTACAATGGTACATGGTACAAGTACAATGGTACATGGTACAAGTGAAAAAGCAGCCACTAATAACTGTAGTAATTAGTCATTTTTAACTAATTCATTTTTAGAGAGTAAATAGTAAATAATATATTTTGTAAAATTAGATATTTATTTTGTTTTTAGTACCTACACTGCGCGTCAAAATTAACGCATAACAAGTAAAAAAAAATCCAACTCTAAAACGCCTTTACCAATCTTTATAAAATTTTGTATAAAAATACTTCAACTTATATCTCAGTTTTCGTGTTCAAGGGTTTTTCGAGAAAATATCCTTAAAGCCCTTTTATTTAATAATAAAAAATGCTCGAAAAAAACTTTTATAGGGAAATTTATTTTTAAGTAAATAAAAAATATGTTGTGAAAGACCGTATTTTTGTTAGTATACCCTGAAAATTTTGTACAAATCAAACGAACGTAACTAAAAAACAGCGCTTCAAAGTTGTCAAAAATGACCACTTTTCAGCAAAATAATAAAAAAGGGGTCATTTTTACCAAAATTTTCAGGGTATACTAACAAAAATACGGTCTTAAACAGCATATTTTTTATTTACTTAAAAAAAATTCCCTTAAAGTTATTTTTCGAACGTTTTTTTAATTTTATAATAAAAGAGCTTTAAAAATATTTTCTCGAAAAACCCTGGAACACGTAAATATACGAGATATAAGTTGAAGTATTTTTATACAAAATTTCATAAAGATTGGTAAAGGCGTTTTGGAGTTTTTTTACTTATTATGCGTTAATTTTGACGGGAAGTGTATATATTAGACTGCGCCAAAAAAATCAACTATTTTTTTTTTGAAAATATCGAAAATATGGTTTGGGGCGACAAAAAAAATTATTGTGAAAGTTTGAGTCCACAATATTAATATTAAGAGGTCTATCATCGCAATTTTAATTTTTTTCCCTCATCAAGTTTTTGTCTCAGAACTCCCAAACCAATGAGTTTAACAAAATTCACTTAAAATAATTTTTTAAGAAAATTAAATGCTCTACAAAAAAGGTTAAATGAAATTTTTCGTCAGATGAACAGTTTCCTTAAAATCATGCCCTAAACATTGGTATAGTTTTACATTTTGATACTTTAACTTTGGAATTTTAAAATTCATGAAAAAACCGATAAATATTCTTATGTGAAATCAAATGCTTTACAAAAAAAGCCTCCTAACATTTTTGGCTAAATTCACTCTATCAAAAGTTTTTCAAGGTTAAATTTGACAATATTTTCGTTTTGACTTCAACTTTAACCTTGAATAACTTTTGATTAAGTGAATTTAGCCACATAAGAATATTTATCGGTTTTTTATGGGAACTTATTTTTACATGAATTTTAAAATTCCAAAGTTAAAAGATCAAAATGTAAAACTATACCAATGTTTAAGGCATGATTTTATGGAAACGGTTCATCTGACGAAAAATTTCATTTAACCTTTTTTGTAGAGCATTTAATTTTCTTAAAAAATTATTTTTAAGTAAATTTTGTTATACTCGATGGTTTGGGAGTTCTGAGACAAAAACTTGATAAGGGAAAAAAAAATTAAAATTGCGATGATAGACCAATTAATATTAATATTATGGACTCAAACTTTCACAATAATTTTTGTTGTCGCCCCAAACCATATTTTCAATATACTTTAAAAAAAAAAATAGTTGATTTTTTTGGCCCAGTCTAGTATGTATATTTAGGTACCTATTATATTATAATTAGTTGAGTTGACAATTTAATTTTGCAATTTTAACCAACAAAAAAAAAACATTTAAAACGAAAAAATCTAAAACCCATTTCATTATTTAATTCTGCACCTCTCGTTAAAGTCACCGGGCAAATAAGGGATTTATGACATCTAAAATTGTACGTGAAATTTTTGCAAAAAGTTCTTTAAGAATCGCTCACCTGAACTGCGGTGAGTTAATCCAGGTCCGTTCGAGTCTCGATGATGTTGAAAGCACTAAAACAAGAAGACGCCACCGCTCGACACGTTGGTACGTTTTATAGCACCTGTGGAAGCGTGGCGCCGCGACGCGCAGATACGCTCTTTCGCGGGCGGCGTCTTCCTCGGGTTGGCGGGCCCCACCATGGCCACGCACGATCCTTTGCGTGGGGTCGTTGAGGGTTAATTGCGATTTTGCACTTTTTAATGTGTAATAAGCAGAGTTGGGAGTACTGAGTATTTTTTTTAATGGATTATGCTATCATTACTAATTATTACTTGATTTTATAATTTTAATGAGAGAAAAATATTGAGTACTTTTTATTTTTACTTTACCAATTTGATAATTACAATTTTTTTTTATTTTGTAATTATAATCAGAGAAAATATCAAGTACTTTTTATTTTAACTTAAAATGTTTACTGATTCTAAATATTTTTTTATTTTATAATTAAAAAATAATAAAGAACAGAATACATTATATTTTTTTTTATTTGATTAGAATGGTGAATAAGGATACTTCCGTGCTTGTTTATGTTTTTATTGCGACTAGTTTCGATCTATATTAGATCATCTTCAGGCAAACTACAAAAATATGTGAAACTATTACATATTTTCATAACCTGGTTATGTTAAATTAATAGTTTAAAGTAACAATACAATGGTTGATAACAAATATTAAATACTTACATGTCAATAATTAAAATATTTGTAAAAAGGTTTATCAATTATATTAAATATAAGCATAAAGATAGTTTTAGATTCTGATTAAAATTATTTACAATATACAATGACTTGACGATGTATTCTTGGTACTTGTATTTTCATTTATATTTTAAGTACAATCAATTTTTTACTTTGACTTTAAACTTTTTGCATTACGAAGTACTAAAAAATATTATTTATTCAAATTAATAAGTACAATTATTTTTGTATTTTTACTTTAAATCAATTTAGAGTAAAAAATACAATTGTATACATTGTGTACATTAATGTATTAATAATTTTTATTTTCTCCATTCTCAAGTAACTTAAATATTCTAATGGCAATACTTTTTAAGTACAAATCTCGCAACTCTGGTAATAAGTAGGTGGGTTGTTTTCAAAATTCTTTTATATTTAAAGAAGAAAAAGTAAAAACAAATACTTTATCTACAAACCTGTTTTTTTCCAAATTTTGTTTATTGAGGGGTGTTATTTAACACCTAAAAGTGGGCGGTGGGTAGAGATGCGACTTGAAAAAAAACAGTCCGTTTTTTTTGTTTTTTATCAGGTTTTTTTCATTGTTTTTTTTCAAATGGTTTTTTTTCACATTTTAGGTTTTTTTTTCAAGATTAGTCCCATTTGCCTAATTTTTTATGTTTCCAGTCCAGTTCATGGACTAAAATTAGCTACTAAATGACATTTAGTAAATGTAAATACAGTCTCGCGCTTTGCACGCGCCACCACCACCGAATTGACCAATAAGGGCCGCGCTTGTTTTGATTTGGTCCTAAAAAAAGTAACTGCCTATATTTTTGATTTTTCAAAAAGCTACCAAAAGCACTTTTTTTCATGATTTTTCAAATTCATGTAGGGTATGGAATTTTTTTTTTCAAAAAAACAATAGCAAATTTTTGTAGAACATTTATTCATTGGTGGTTTAGTCAGAACATTCCGTGGACTAAAAAAGAAAGCCAAAAAAATTTCGAATTTTTTTATTACGGTATTCGTTAGGATTGAGCGTTGCACGTTTTTCATCTAAAAATTAGAAATTTCAAGCTTCAAATTGCTTTTTTTACGGCTCCAATACGACCATTTTTAACGAAGATACAGCTATCCGAAAAATCGCAAAAAATTTGGAATTTTTTTTATCCTTTAATTTTTTCTATTAGTGTAGAAGTTTTACATTGCTATTGGTTTCTTATGTGGAAACTACCAAATAATACGAAATCAGATTTTTTAGTCTCAGTCAAAATTTTCAATAATGAAAAATGTAATATATATTCTATATTTCACTTTATTATTAATATACATTTTACCCAAAATTTTATTTTAAAAAATAACTCCATTTTTTAAGATTTATTTTATTTATTGACAGAATATGCTTTATTGTAGCGGGTTTTTTTCATGTTTTTTTTCACATCTGAAAAAAACCGTTTTTTACATCTCTAGCGGTGGGTCACAAATTTATTAACATATTAAAAAAAACTTATTTAAAAATGCTTAATTATTTTGAAAATATATTTTTTTGCTTGTTAATAATCCTTTTAATGTTATATTTATACTGGGATTTGAAAAAAAGAACATAAATTTATTATTTATAAAAAAAATTTCAGTACAAAACCAAGTAAAAGCAAAAACTATGTTCTATTTCTAAACTTTCTTACATAGGTACATAAGTATTTTTAATATTTTTCTGTATTTAAAAAATATCCATTAAACAAGTTAGTTTAAGAAATTTTCTTTTAATCTGTATTAAAAATGTTTTTTTTCCATTTTTTTATCTGGGCCCAGATTGTCCAATTTAACGAGCAATAAATTAATAACAAGTTTTAACAAGCCTCTAAATTAAATGTATTTCTTTTAAATACTTTTGATATCGGATAAGTATTTTGACGCTAGCTATTTTAATAACTTAAAAAAATCTTGTTTTTGGCAAAAATTGAGGTCCAAAATTAACATATCGTCCTGGGAAAGGTTTAAATTAAACAGATAACTCCAGATTTTTTTTTCGTGAAGCTGACATTTTTACAAAAAAAAAACAAGCTAATGTTGATCAAAATACATGGAAAAATGGGGAAGTTATGAATTTTTTAATGGAAGACCAAAATTCCGGTTTTTGACGATTTTTATTTTATTTTATTTTGTAATATGTTTATTCTTTAATGAAAACTTAAATAAAGTGCATGATTGGAATTTTTTGAGTTCTTTACGTACTTTTTTAACCGAAAACATTATTCAAAATTTAAATTTAACATGACTCCGCAAACGTGAATTCTTTTGTTTCTCGTGTTAGCATAGTGACATTTTACTGATATTTTTGATATTTCAACAATGTATTTTTATCATGGGTTTATTTAGTTAATAAAAAGTGTAAAATAAGTAAAAGAAGAAGAGAGTTCGAGTGCGTAAATATCCCGCACAATCTGGCCTATGTGATGAGCACGGAGAACGTTTTCACCAGCAAATGAACGCTATGAAGCGGCGGTATCTATAGATAGCCTATAGGCTTCTGGGATGCAGCCATGATAGGTGATTACATTTGGTCCCTCATGCTAGAAACAGAATAGGAAAGCAACAAAAAACAAAGGAACCAGAATTTTTTTAAACAACAAAATAAAACATTCAATTTCTTTAATGTACAATATTTATTGTTTATATTAAATTTTATATAATTCAATAAAATTAAGAAAAAACGTAAAAATTCTCGAAAAACTGAATTTTGGTCTTCCACTGAAAAATTCATAACTTCGCCATTTATCCATGGATTTTTATAAACAGCAGCTTATTTTTTTCCTTAAAGTATAATTATTATAATAGACCAGTGCAGAAGCCTTTAAAAATGGTAAAAAGAGAAAAAAAATTTCAGTAGGATGAAACCCATTGGAAAAGGAGGGGAATATAATAAAAATTAAAGGAAAAATAAATTACGGGCGATCTGAGTTCGGGAAGTGGGAGGGGGGGGTTTTAAGGGTAAAAAATGGTTTATCTTGATTTCCGGCAAAACTACAAGTCCTATGGAAAAAAGTTAAATGTCAAATTTGTAGGTAATAAAAAGATCTACAACTTTTGTATTTCCAATTTTTTCACATAACCTCAAAATTTATGTGAAAAATTCAAAAAACCAAGTTTTTGGTTTTTTATTAAATAAAAAGGTAAGTTTTCACCAAATTTTGTGGAAATTTTTTTTTTTTTGATAAAGATACATTTTTTTTTATCTTTATCAAAAATAATTTTTTTCCACGAAATTTGGTGAAAACTTACCTTTTTATGTCCCAAATACACTGTAATTTATTTGATTTGAAATATTTATTATTTCGCCTTATTTTGACTTAATATCAAAAAAGCACCCTAATTTTCAATCGAAAATTCTCGCGTCAAAATATCAGCTTTTTTCAAAAAGTCGGTGTGCTTTTTGTTCGATGAACTCTCTACTTTCTGATGGTGTAAAAAAAATATACATTACTATGGTAAATGTTCTCAGAAAATACAAATAATATTATAATGAATAACGTAATCAGAATGAAGTATCTAAATTCAATAGTATGATTTACATGTATTTTTAAATTTTATGAGATTTTCTGACATAAATGTTATTAGAATTTAATAAGTAAACTTTTTAACTAAAAAAAATTGCAACAATACCATTTTTTTGATGAAATTGTACATAATGATTAAAATAAATTTTCGAATTCGAGTTTTTTTCGTTATTCATTATAATATTTTTTGCATTTTCTGAGAACATTTACCATAGTAATGTATATTTTTTTACACCATCAGAAAGTAGAGATTTCAACGAACAAAAAGCACACCGACTTTTTGAAAAAAGCTGATATTTTGACGCGAGAATTTTCGATTGAAAATTAGGGTGCTTTTTTGATATTAAGTCGAAATAAGGCGAAATAATAAATATTTCAAATCAAATAAATTACAGTGTATTTGGGACATAAAAAGGTAAGGTTTCACCAAATTTCGTGGAAAAAAAATTATTTTTGAAAAAGATAAAAATAAAAAACCAAAAACTTGGTTTTTCACATAAATTTTGAGGTTATGTAAAAAAATTGTAATTACAAAAGTTGTAGATCCCCTACAACTTTGCCATTTAACTTTTTTCCATAGGACTTGTAGTTTTGCCGGAAATCGAGATAAACCATTTTTTACCCTTAAAACCCCCCCTCCCACTTCCCGAAGTCAGATCGCCCGTAATTTATTTTTCCTTTCATTTTTATTATATTCTTCTCCTTTTCCAATGGGTTTCATCCTACTGTTATTTTTTTTGTTTCAAAAATTATCGACCCTGGTCTATAATCTATACGT